TATCACTGAAGCCCTTGTAATTTCGAAAAGCCTCAAGTTCTCCTAGGATGACCGAACAGATACAAATTTTATAGCGCCGCTTAGAATGCATTTCTAGAGATCTAAAAGTACTCTGGATAGCCTAAAAAGACTTTTCAATGCACTTCGAAGGAAACCGTCGTTGGGTGCCCCTGTATAAAGCAGATATCTAACAAATTTCATCAGGAAGCACTAACCATAATATTTTTTTGGTGATTTTTACAGGCATAGCTTTAAAACGTGAAAAAGTTGGGCAGGCCCAACTTTTAGTAAAGTTTCAATCCTTGTCCAACCGATCCTTACCTTGGTTGCTCTGGGTGTGTAAAAAATATAGCAAATTATCCTGTTGTCGAGTTTCTAAGTATTGCATGAACTGACTGTACCTCATAATTCTCACGGCTATTGAACGATATTTATACGGCTGTTATGTTTGGCTAATTGGTGAAATCACCGCTTCAAATCTGGAGAAGTGATAAGCAAATGGGAGAATTTTTGTATCGACTGAATGTAACAAGAAATGGGATATACTGCATTTGTTTACGCGGTTATATTTGCTTAAGGAAAGCATTACCGTCTTTTGCTTGCTTATGGTAATTCAAAACCACCTTTAAGTGGAAATCAAGGAAATTTGGAAATCGATGGAGGTACCAGTAGGGGGCGAGTAAGTCAATTCGCTTGGATCTTATTGGGTCAATGCACTTTGCACTTTGTAAGATTTTGCTTTTTATACGGCGTTCTCTTTTCCAAGGGCGATTACTAAGGTTAAGTTACTGAATGTCGTGATAGGTCTAGTTATTCTGTTTCAACAAAACGAGATATCAATAGGGGTAACTTTTTGTTTGCTTGTTTTTTTTTTTTTTGGTAAACTGACTACCGTGATCACAAACAACTTCCTTTCTCTTTATGTCGGTAGTGAAAATTGACCCTTAACTTACACTTCCGTGATTATTTTAAGAAAGTTATTTACTTCAAATTTATATCCGCAGAATCTAGTGTTTATAAAGCTAGGTGGCAGTAAATTATACTCTAATTGTGTTTAGCAAATGTTCGAATGAAAACTCGGTTCCCACAATGAATTAATTTGTCCGTTGAATCACGTTTCAGTCTGCTTTCCTAACGATTACATTATCAAAGCACTTATGTCTTGCTCTGTCATCGCTGGTACAGGTATAATTCATGACCAATACGATTTAAATGACAAAAACCTTTGCAATTATACAAAAACGTTTAAAACAATACACTGTTATAACGGCGTTGAATTTCAGCGGTAATTACTCCTGACTTACCGGCGTCTCTCGATAATCATGAGTTAAATTGGTAAAAATTTGCTGTCAAATGAAAATCTTAAGGGAAAATTATTTGTTGCATCTGAGGTTCTTTTTTATTCATCACATGATAGCATTGACGTAAGAGATGGCCGAGGTCTAGTTCAGCATCTACGATCAAGGCGTTTTCGTGACTCAAGACAGAGCAGCACTTTCACTTACAAAATAATCTTCAAAATCTGAATACAAATAATTAAAAAAATAACGAAGGTGACAGATTTTATCTGATTTTACTTCAACTTTTAGGTAAATTGTAACCTCATAATAGACTAAATATTAAGCAAATAAACCTGGGCTTTAAAGTTCGGATGTCAAAGAAGTACAAATGAAGCATGTTATAATACTTGATTTCTGAGGAACGGCATGATTATGATAAAAGTAGTCGATTAAAATACACAAACACACATCCACTCTGTCTCGCTTTTATATCCTTTGATTTCTCGAAATGTCCTTGTTTTGTCATGTCTGAATCAAGAGAGAATAATCTTGTCTTGTTTGACTAAGGCTCTGGGTTAGAAAACAAACTCATACGAACTAATATGAGAAATCGCTGAAATCGGTTATAAGTCAACTAGCTTTTTGAATTTTGGTTGAATCCAGTGGAGGGAACGGAAGTGCAAATTTTAGTAACACACTAAGATTATCATTTTCAGTTTAAATCACAGTGAACTAAATATTTCTGAGATCGCCAGGCTATTGCACTTTCTTGCAAGTAGATTTCAGCGATCAGTGAGAACATCAAATCAGTGACGTTCTTTATTGGTTTATCTAAATCATTTGTAATACGACCCGATAGTAGTAACGAGTATAATATTACAACGAGAAGCATCAAATTACAGTTTTCTAGTTTAATTTGTAATTTAATACTGTCGTAAAATGCCAATGGGGTGGCTTCTCCTGACGAAAAAGTCGAAAAGGAGGGATAAAATCAGCTTGAAAGTTATAGTAAAGAATGTCATTATGACTCGTAAACAGCACATTCCAAAGGGTCTGTAACGGCTGCAGGGGAAAAAACGTTTAAGTCACGACATCCGCTATGTACGTACAGTGTCTAAATTTAGAGGTACATAAAATTTTTCAACAGTTTATGCCTCATATTTTAGTGAAATAAGCATAGGAAGCACCGATAAACTCTTTTCACTGGTTGCATTGCTTAAATTTGAATATGATAGAGGAAATAGTAAAAACAGGAAAAGCGCAAGAAAAATGTTGACTTTATATTTTAAATGCACAGTGCGGGATGACCGGTAAAGGGATTTTTTTATTTTTAATTGTGACATTGAATTGGGGAAAAATTGAGATTGTCCAAATTCCCGGGCATTGTTGTCCAGAGACTATTTAACCAGGGTTTTCAACGTGTGTGGCCCATTCACTGAAAGATACAGAGAAACGTAGCACACACAATCTTTGAGAAATCAGAATGAAGACTTCAAATCCCGGTAAGTGCCTCAATTCTTTGCTAGGCAGTCATCTACTTGCTAACACTATCAATCGATCATTGAAAGTCGAATATCTGATGAACTTAAACAGAGCCACAAAGTATTTGTTACTGACTAGAGTACTTTTCAGGCACTACGAGTCGTGGTTAACATGTTTAAAATTGAATACTTAGTTTTAGCTTGTATTTCTAAGTTACACGAAAACAATATATAATTAGAAAAGCTCACTGAAATATAAAAAAACCATCTTCAACTAATTAATACAAAACGTTGAAAGACTAGTAAGAGTAACGTACTTATAACATTAAATCAGTCAATAAATCTTTTACTAAAAGTCAAATATCGCAAATTCTAATTTTTAATAATGATAATTATATCATTATTATTTTTTACCGGCCAAAAAGTGGATGACGATTCACTAAGATCTTTTCCTTTTTCCAGGTTTTTACCCCACCGATTTCGTCATTTGGACGGCTGTGCTTATGTTCGCCAGTGGTGGAAGTGCCTCGTCAATTTGTGTGTCTTTGCCCACGTCTCCAGAAGTTATAAAAAGCTTCACTTATTCCCATTTCGTCCAGCTGTCAAAGACTGTCGGTGAAACACAAGCAGACTTTGTAAGTGAAATCAATAGTTTAAAAAGTTATAACTCTCACAAATGTTTTCTTTGATCGATAGCCCCTTGGTCTTATTTGCTGAATTAATGCCTTATTCCAGCTAACGGTCTTTACGTACTACTTCCCTACGCATGTGTACTAATTAATAATAAGAGCTTTGAAAAGTTGCTTTTTTAGAGTGAGTCATTCTTATATATTTGGCGTGTTGAGAAATTAAGTGTCAGAAAACATGCATTGGATACAGTTAATGGAAACCGCCATATGCTCAACAATCAGCTGCTAAAAAACTGAGCCTCTACCTTCGCCGTTTTAATACTCGGAAACAAAAGTGTCAGAGTTACGTTGCACTATTTTGTCTTTTTTTCCTGATAAATGAGAAAGATTCGAAATGTTAGGGTCACTTTGAAGTCATTATGATCAATGCTCACTCGTGTGGAAGTTCAACAGGGTGATAGAAGACGGCCAACTAGTGAAATATTTATCGGTAGCACTCGCTGACACCACCTTAAGAGATCATGAAAGCAACACTGCGCTTAAGAATTTAAGTTTTTTTATCTTGTTCTCTTTCATGAATTTTAGACTTCCACATCCTCGTCTTAAACGTTAAATGTGATAACACAGCTCTGTCTTAATTTGTCCCCTGTTGTTTTCAGGCCCAGGTTCGTCTTGGTGACAGAGACTACGACGAATATGTGCACAGAATTCCACAACTACCTCGACCAATTTGGCATCCAGATCAGCTACAGGTACGTACCTTACAGCATTACAAAGAGGCAAATCTTTCACATCAGTTTGAAATGTTGAAGGTGCTTAATGATAGGGTTATATTCTAGCCAACAGTTGTAGATAACAAAAATCCAAGGCAAAATTACAAACTTTTAGAAAAGTTAACTTTAACATGAAACAAGTTAAATCTTCTAACAAAAGTTAATTGTTTTAGCAAGCTGGTCTAAGATCAATACTGACTTGCTAATCTTTAGACCATTAATTTTGATTCTAAGGACTGAGCTGAGCTTTGGCTGCTCTAGTGGAAGCTTTCTAACCTAACATCAATCAGGATCGTATATTTTGGTTGGCAAACACACATCTCTATCAGTGATGGCAGCTCCTCTCGCCCTTTTCTCTCTTTAAGCTCACACAAGTCTTATCCTTGCATCAGTCCTTTTCATCTTGCTTGTACATGGAGCTGTATCTTCAGACAAAGCGCTAGTTATTTCCTTGCTTAAACTGTTCAGGATCATTTTTTTGAAGGGTTAAAGAATATCTGAGATGGATACAGAACGACATTAAACCTAAAAATAGGATAGATGCAAGACAGTGTACGACTTTCATTTTGAGTAATTATGCAAATTTTCGACTATGGGCTCTTATGATCCACTCAGCCATGAAAAGTAAATACGACCAAAAGAAAAGATTTCTTGGAATCGAAGATGGAAAGTGTGTTTCCGGTACTGAAATACTATGCAAATGAAGTTATTAAACATGCCATTTTATTTATTTATCTATTTATTTATACGTTTTTCTTTTAGGAAGAAACACTTCTTCAGATGGAAATAAAAGATCTCTACACCTTTAAAGAATTTCTCAATGAGATTAAAACTCACGAGAAGAAGGACAGTGTATTTTTGGCCAAGTTCGAAACCATTGATGGAGAAATCAACAGGTTAATTGGCAACCTTCAGGATATGGTGAGTGAATCAGAATAGTAAATTACTAGTTAATACTACTTAAAGCGGTTATACAATCAGTGGTTTCATTCATTCAGTCGATTTATTTAAGATTTCAGTTATTGCACGAGTTTAACCCAGCCTTTATAAGTATGCGATTACTGCCTTGTTCTCGTCCTATCTGTTATTATTGTAAATGCATTTTTACATGTCTTATGAACAAAGAGGCTGTTTATTTTTCCCCATATCTTTTAAGGAGGTTCCTGGACATTCAGATATGTTTTCTTTCTTGCCCTATGTAATACTATAATACTATTATGAAAGCCGAAGACTGCGTCATAATGATAAAAATAAATTTTTTACCATACTTGCCTTATCTTTCAAGGAAAGCTCAGTTCTCTTTTCTCACCAATCAAATAACAAAATTTGAGATCGTCTTTACCAAGAACATAAGTATTTCAGTTGGCCTATTGACCGACCATACAAACTGTCCTTTTTTCTTTTTTGCACAGGAAGTGTGTCGTGGTTATCAAATCACGCATCAAGGTGCCTCTGTCCAGCCCACCCTCAAACCTACCGCAACACAGAAAGAACAGGACGAGTGGGAACTGGGCGTGCTGAAAGAATTGCTCTACTGGTTCATACCAGTACAAGGAGATCTTTACAAGCAGTTGAACCACAAATACTAGACTCGAGTCCCTCCCTTGCCTCAGATGAATTTGGAAACGTCAAGAGAGCAAAGCCAAAGAATTTTTCTTTCGTACATTGTATCAATGAAGTTTGTAACGTAGAGCTTAGTGCTCATTCTAGTCAGATTTCCGAATCGCTGTATCAGTAAAAAAAGTTATAAAAAATTAGAAAAGTAGAAGTTATAAAAGAATAAGTTTTTACAGTATTTCGAAAAGGAATTTTTTATTCAAATAGATGTGCAAATTGTACTAGTTAACTATAAATTTAAATAAGAAAAAACTTGATTTTTTACTTTTATAATCTATTGAGTGGTCACTTTAATTTTTTCTCCCCTTTGCTTGAGATGTACAAAAAAAGTATTTTACTGCCATAACTTCAACTCGTTTTAAAAGGATGGCCCAAATTTTTCCATGTTAAAGGGTCTGGGTATAATATGAGAACTTTTTTTGAGGGGAGGGGGATCTGTACACGGGCTACAGCAGATACAGAGACGTCAATTTTTTTTCGTTAAGTTGATTGATAATGGGTTAGGTTTCGATACAGCTGAGAGGCTGCTAAAGTGCTTGAAAGGTAAAAATACGCGGGAAAAATAATTCGCAAAATATTAGTCTAATTTCTTGTAAAGCAATAATCTATTTTCGTCCTAACGAAGGACACTGTATAATAACAGTTCGCTTTCGAATCATTTAAAATTTCCAGGTTGAAAAAAAAAAAAGTCGACAGGATGGTTAGTTTTTAAAAAACGAGGATCGATTCTAGTGACGTAGGAAAGGACCACAGAACGCTTATTGCTGATGATAACCAGCGATTGGCGACAAACTTCAAAGCATTCGCGGAGCAATGCGAACTTCAGTTGCTAATCATAGCCTTATACAGTTTCATCATTCGGCTACTTTAAAATTAATCCGCCAAATTTCCTGCTTGATTTTTTCAGATAATAATTATTATTCGCCCTCTCTTAATATAAAATTAAGCACATTTAGGAGCACAGAGCACGGTTTATTTTAACTGCTTAATGAATTGTTTGTCGAACCGTAGGACCATACTTGTCATGAAAAACTGACCCCTCTCAGCTAGGTTACAGGAGATATCAAATTACAGCATTTTGAGCTTCGTAAAATTTGACGACAACACAACGTTTTTTCAACAACGCCAAAATTAATTAAACCGTGACCAGCTGTTAGTAGAAAATAACCCGGAACTAAACTAAAGAAAAGGCTTCTTTCGTCAATGATGCTAGCCGCTTACGTAAGACGATAAAACCCATGTTCTCTTTTCTTTCAATAAGAATATCGAGGCTAAAATTTACGAAATTTTAAGAATATTATAAGAATATTCCCAAGGCTGAGATTTTGGAAAATGAGACAGTTTTGTGTGTTAAAACTATGTAAATACCATACACGTGTACAATTATACGTTCTTAAACCGTTTAAACTTAGTCATTTCTCTAAACGGCAAAACTATAGTGAACAAAACGTAACAGGAATGACGATACAAAGCAGATCAAGGGAATGTAGATCTACACTCCCGCAAAACCTCAGTGTCCAAAAATCCAAGGCTGCCATTTCAATCACAGTATTTCTAAATCAAAACGAATTTTACTTTATTCTCTCTCAGCAGTTCAACTTCCATTTCCTAATGTTTTTCCTGTGTTTTTTCACTTCCTAAAGCATAATTATCATGGATGTCTTCGATACTTATTTTTTTCCCTTTAGAGTTACGAATCGAATACGTCATCATGGTCTTTCCTACTCTTTACCAGTTCCCAAATTTTCACTTAGTTTTAGCTTGATGACAACGCTGAATCACTTATCAGCTTAAAGAACAGAGGAAGCAAAGCGCTTGCAATGTGCATTCATATTAGTAAGTTACTTACGTACACCGTGGTAGTAAGAGCGTCAAGTCAAGACTAAATTTAACGTCAAGTTCTCAAAGTGACTTGAATGAACTCGACGAGGTTACTTCACTTACTTGGCAGAAAACATTTTATGAGTTTAGTCTACAAATAACGGCTAATCGTGAAGTGATGACTTGTAAATGAGATTGTCATCTTTTCACAAAAGAAAATGTCACAGCGCACAGCGGAAGTGGAAAGTAACTAGAGTCCAGACTCTCCTGCGCAATGTCGAACACACATCAAACTGACTGCAATCCCTCCTTGAGCTCCTCATATTTTTCCATAAAAGATTATTATAAAAGAGTAAGCTTCGTTGCGGTGTTAAAGATTCAGAGGAAATAATCTAATATACAATACTGAAGCTTTCATTCCGGTTTTATTATGCTGTCAGTGTGTGACTGTGTGCTTTTTTTTTCATATCGCAAGTTTGACTCAATGCAATACTAGATGCGCTTTAAAATGATTGTTTGCAAGGCATTGAACAATCTAACTATTTTTGTTGGGAATAAACTGACCAAGTAATACTGTTTGCCTTAATCGCATTTTGAATTCAATAGATTTTTTTATTCTGTGTAGGCGTTTAACTGTTATCAAGAAGCTAGCAAAGCTTCCGTTATTACTGTGTGCTAGCTGGTCAAACGCCTGTTAGCGCGACGAAATCAATGCTCAGAAAATAAAAGGCAATTGAAATTGCACCGTTTAAAACGGTTCAAGTGAGCCAAATTTGGAAATCATTACAATTTCGCTTGCACTAAATATATTCGGTGACTCGAATAACTATGACATTTGTGTTCAGGATGAACCTCTTTATGCGTAAAAAAATATTTTCTAAGAGGTTTATAGAACCTACCACTCTGCTTCTCTACATCTGTATTTTGAAAGTATATCCTTTTTCGCAGTTTTCGAACAATTTTTCTGTTTTCAAATTTGCGCAGAACCGTGACAAGGAAGTTATTATTCATAGAGTCTCAAAATAGAGAATGCTACAACCTTACTGAAAAATTATTCCTTGGAAGAAAAAGCAAAATTTTCAGAAACAAGACTGAATTCTCTAATTGGATCATTCTGAAAGGTGACGTGGGAGAATGGTAAAGAACTGCGAAGACAAAAAGTACTTTTATTGAAAGTTTTACTAAACGGATAACTAATTCTATTGTCGTCAATCATAAGTCAATTTTAGTAAATCACTCGTAGAGAAAAGAAATTAAAATATTGGAAAGACATCAAACATGCAAAAATCGACAAATCGAATAGGCATTGTTACTTTTAAAGGACCTTAGCAAATAAGGAAGCGTAGCGTACAAATATTTATACAAATTCCCAGATGGGGAACCGCAACTTATCAATCCTATCTGTGTTAGCCAAATATTGGTATTAAATATTTATTAACTTGGATCACTTTGAAAAAATCCAAAAAAAGTATATCCAGAATTTTTTTTTGATTTTTCATTTGAATTATCTAATATCCGCTATTTCTGGTTTCAAGGAACTTGAGAAGCGAACCTATTGCCCAATTCTTTGAGTACCTGAAAATTTAATTTCAGACTATTGCAGTACTGGTTCATAATTTTTTTTCCGTGTCGTTTGAACAATTCAAAATCTTTGTTGCGTTAAAGAGCACTCAAGGAGAAAAATTTCTATTGTTTTATCGTTTAAGCAAAGTTTGAGGAGGCGTTTGATGTTGTATAAGAATATAACTTGTATGGCATTAAAAGAAGTAAGAAAGTTCTCTGTGCAAAGCTGGTAAATCGCGTACTTTATTCGTGTTACACCTGTTAATAGCGGTTAAAACCGTTACCATAATGTTCCTTTTAGCGGAACTGACTCACAGGGGACATACATCCGTACTGAAGGAAAAAGTACCTTTTTTCGAAGCAAGTTAGAAACATTACGAATAGGATTTCCTATCCATCTGAGATGGTGACTTGGATAAAAAGGGCAGTCGCGAAATTTCAAAGTTCACTTGAATCCGAGACGATCAACAGGAGTGTCAAATTACAGAAACAGATATCACTATCATGCTAGGTAAGAGAAAAATTGGTTTACTTATTGCAATCTGCTCTTACGTCTTTGCTAATAATGTAAACGAGAGATTCAACCATCATTCTAGAATACTGTAAATTTTCATGTTGCTGATTTTGACTTTTTCTGATAACTCGGTGCTGCTGTAAACCGATGACACTTTAATCTAACTTTTGATTGTGCTTAAGTTACTGTGCTGCTCGGTGCTAGCCTATTACACGCCACGGGTAAATTGCTTTTAAACCAAGGTATCGCTTGTAATTGGAGAATAGCTTCTTATAAAATTTAGGAACGTAATTATGCTGACCAACCAAAAATTTTATCTACGGGGCTTAGACGACAAATTAACGACCTTGGCTCTCTTATGGAAAAAAAATAAAATACTTAGTTGTGTTAACCATGTCCAACAGAAAATATAATGACAAGTTTTACTTGTCAAAATTTACTTTGGTGAACCTGCGTTTCTTGCATGCACTTAGGGGTGGGTGTTTGGCAACGGAACTCACTTCAGAGCTTTCAGCCTTATCCAGTAACTTTTCTCCATCGATTTGGCCTTGAAAAGTCATAAATGCCTACTATTTGACTTTCTGAAAGAATATTAACCTGATCCATTTATCTACTTAGAGTTAATGTATTTCTTCATTTTTCAGTTTCAGTTTTGCTGGTTGTACTACTTCCACGGTTTTCCCTTGGAGCTCCCGTTAGCAAGAGGGAAGTTTCAAAGAGAACGTTAGTAAAAGATGCGTTGCTGTCCATGCGTAACGTCTGCATCTCGAAACCAAATCTAATGATATTGACTTCTAAGACAAAAAAGGCCTATGTAAGTGTCAAAAAATCTATTTAAACTTTATACTTTTTTACACAACATTATCATCATCTCAAAACCTTAAAATGATACGTTTTACCAAAGAGACTTCTCCTAAATAAATCAGTCAGTCTATCAATCAATCTATCAATCAATCTATCAATCAATCGAAAATCAATCGATCAATCATCCATTGGTGTACTGTAATTTTGATGTTAGATTCGACTATAGAAATTATTTTACAAACGTTTTAAAAACTTAAGTGGAACCACGTG